TTTAACACAATAAAGCATGTATTTTTTCTCTGTATTATTTATGGCTTTTATTATTATTATTATTATTATCATCATCATCATTTTTTTATATTTTAAAGGGCTAAAGTATAAATTATATTATACTACTGTTTATGGTTTATGATTTATTAACAACAACAAAAAGAACATGACCAATCTTTTAATTTAAATAACAATTCATTGCATAAACGCAATAATCCTAATCCTAATCATAATAATAATTTATTATCTTAATACATAAAAACACCTAATATCAATATTTTCAATAAAACATTAAGTAAAAAAAAATCTATATTTTACATTTTCAATCTATTATACATAAAATCACTAGTTAAAATGTGTTAGATCAATAATTTTATGAGGAATTTAAAAAATGTATAAAATCAATAAAATAACACCGCAACTTAATCATAATTATACATGATAGATCAGAACATAAATGCAAATATAAGAAGTTTAGAGGGCCAAGAATAGGAAGGGTTTCTGGACATATTTTGTAATTTTTGTAATTGTTCCACTTCTCAACCATACACTACCTTAATAAATATGGAAATGTATTAGAAGAACATAGTTCAAGCCTCAACATCAAACCTAAGCCTTCGACCAACCCTAAAATTTCAAGCTCAATTTAGTGTTGGGTAGATGTACTTATAACATGAGATTTCACAGTACAAAACAAGCCAGTGAAATAGCTTGTGGTTTTAACGTCTACAATTTTGACAACCAGAACAGAACTGGGAAGAGCGCCTGAATAATACCTCCAAAATACCTCCAAGATTTCTCTGGCTCAAAGTGAAACTGACTTACATGCAGTCAAATCAAATTTACAGCTGAAACAAGGAGTCAATTTGGTGTGAAAGTAAGGATAATTCATAAGCAAATGATGCATGTGTGAAGTGAGCTATCAACCCTCAGCAGTCGGCTTTCAGGGGTCAGTCTGAAAGAGAGGTTATCTGCTAATATTGTCAATCATCTTTGGGCTTTGGCGCTTTTCTAAGCTGATTTCTCAACAGAGACAGACTTAGACAGTCCCGCTATGCCTGAGGGTGTAAAGGGAGATCAATATTATCAACACTGTCAGTGTCCAATTCTATTCTCTATTCGACACAGATACAGTAATACTGTGCGATTCTGCTGAAAAGACAAACATGGGTCTTTGAACCTGGACACAGTCTTACATTTTCCACTTCAGACCCTCAGAAGCCACATAAACTGATGCTGCAGACGTTTATGCTGGTATTTCTTGTGATACTGTGCAACTGAATAAAGTGATGCTACTTACTTAAAGGGACAGTTCACCCAAAATCACATTTTTGTTTTCATTTACTCCTCCTTATATTGTTGTGAATCTGTTCATTGTACTTTTTTTTTCCATACAATGAAAGTCAGTGGGCTTCAAGATTTCTTGGTTCCCAAATTCTTCAAAATATCTTTCGGTAACACTTTACTTGAAGGGGTGTGCATAAGACTGACATGACACCTTCATAATCATGACATGACACATGTCATGAATATGAAGGAGGTTTTATGCATGTTTATGACAACTGTCATTAAGTGTCATTCGCTCAGTTATGTCATTTTTAATGCAAATATGACATTATTTGACCTAACCCTAATCTAACCCTACCCTTACCCCTAACCATAGCCCATAACAAAGACATCTCAAACAATGTCATCTTTGCATTAAAAATTACATAACTGAGTGAATGACACTTAATGACAGTTGTCATAAACATGCATAAAAAACCTTCATATTCATGACGTGTCATGTCATGATTATGTAGGTGTCATGTCATGTTTATGAAGGTGTCATGTCAGTCTTATGCACACCCCTTCAGTAAAGTGTAACCTATCTTTCTTTTATATTGCACAGAAGAAACTCATACAGGTTCAAAACAATATGAGGGCAAGTAAATGATGACAGAACTGTCATTTGTGTGGACTGTCCCTCTTAGCTGTTTTATTATTGAGTCAATTTTTTCTTTCAGTTAGACAGGTTTTGTATTTCTTTTTTTGAGCTCATTGATCATAGGCCTCACTGATCTAAGTTTATGTACCTCAGTGTTGAAAAGAAAAAAGTTAACTCAAGCTTATTCACCTCAAATAAATCTGAGGTGCATAAGTTCAGATCAATGAGGCCTATGACCAACCTGTTACAAAAAGGAATGTGACCTATGCTAGCAAAATGAGCTGTAATGCGTACGGGCTAATTTTGACATACAGGCAAAAAAAAAATAAAAAAATTAAATTTGGTCAAATTTGAGGTTTTCATAAAAATGAGTTAATTAAGCCCTTGCCTTTATATTGATACAAAACTCCAAATCGTAAATTAAACATCTAAAATTATCTTTATTTGTATATTTTCTATATCTTTTTCTCTGCTCTCTTCTTGACGACTGGTGCTTCCCAGTTTACTCTAGTTGTAAAGCGCAGCATTCTAGCTTTGTGAATATTCACAGCGAATTCTCGATGACATGAGACTGAACCAGTGAAATGTGATGTTCAAACCCACACTGGTGTAAACAAAATGATCTCGCTGACTGGCACATCTGAAGCGTGCACTTAAAGATGCGTCTCTCAGACAGCACGCGATCCCGATATACACATTACAGTACTTCAAAATATCTGTCTGGGCGAGTATTCACGCAAACATAATCTGTTATGTCTTAAGTGAACGCTTGGTTAACTGTTGGAGAAAAACATCTGATGTGTAACATTATATTAGATCCGTGCATTACAGTAGGTCTTAATATAGCGGTCTCATCTGTCTAAAATGTGCTCATTGCGACTCATTTTGCCAGCACAGGTCACAAATATAAAACCTGTGCTAACTGAAAGAAAGCAAGTTGATAAAAAGATTGAAGCAAATATTTGGCAATAGCAAAGCATAAAGAGACATTTATGTGCAATTTTTTGTAGGCCAGCCATTTTTTTTTACCATGAACACCACAACACCCCAAAAAAACACAAAAATTATCTAAATGTTTTTTAGGAAGTTGCCGTACCCTGCATGAGCAAAGTCTTAGTTTTAGTCCAATGCAATAACATTAAAAGGGTCATATGATGCTTTTTTAAAGATCATTATTTTGTGTATTTCAAAGAGAAAGGAAAACTTGAAATCGCATCATATGACCCCTTTAAAGAAAATCCTCTCCTTTACAAAATGCCCAGAACACAATATGAGGGATTTATACGGTATAATGTTATAATTATATGTTGTACATAATGTTAGATATTAAAAACAATTACCTCCTTATTTAGCTTTAATTTACAGTAGTTAGCTAATTTAGAGCAACTTGACTATATTTTAACTACTTTATATTGATATATTCAAAGTAGCTTGCTAACATAGTTAAAGGGGTGGTTGATTGCGATTTCACTTTTTTAACGTTAGTTAGTGTGTAATGTTGCTGTTTGAGCATAAACAATATCTGCAAAGTTACTAAGCTGAAAGTTCAATGCAAACGGAGATATCGTCTTTTAAAATTCTGGCAGTTTAATGCCTACAAAAACGGCT